AACCAAACTGGTCTAAATAAGAGAGAAAAACTAAAACTTAAATTTAATGGCTGATCTATTTGAGATCTAAATCAATTTCTCCATTTTCTTAAGCACATAATACCTAGAACAGGTGTTCTCCCCCCACCCCTCAGAGCAGTTTGCTATGCATACAAAATTAAATTTTACTTTGCAGGCAATAGCTTCTGATGAATTCTGAGCTGGAGAATGGCAGGCTCTTTTGCACATTTGAAAGAATATAGTAGTTCAAAAGATTATATTGAAAGTGATGCATCTAGAGATATTAGTACTATATACTGAGGAGAGTGAAATAGAGAGGAGATGACAGCTATGAGAAACTTTTGGAAGTAGAATTAATAGAATCTGGTGATTGGTTGAATACAGGCATTAAATTAGGAGTCCAGAATGACTATTAGACTCCTAGATTAAAGAAAAAAAAGGTGTAGTCCTGGCCGGTTTGGCTCAGCGGTTAGAGCGTTGGCCTGCAGTCCAGAGAGACCAGGGTTTGGTTCCCACTAGGGGCACGTACCTTGGTTGCAGTTTGTCCCCAGCCCTGGTTGGTCGTGCGGGTGGCAACCACTCTATGTGTTCCTTTCACGTCGATGTTTCTCTCTCTCTCTCTTCCTCTCTCTCCCTATCTGAACAAAAAACAAAAAAATGTCCTCGGGTGAGGACTAAAAAAGAAAAAAAAGGTGTGGATGGTTAGGAGAAGGGTTGGATAATTGTTCAATCTGGGACATAGAGAGTTTAAGGTACCTAAGAAATCCAACAATTGAATATATACCCATCACACAAAAGAAAGAGATATGGACGTTACCATAATGTAGAAAGTAGTTAAGACCACAGTTATGAAGGAATCAGGTAAAGATGGAGGGCAGAACAGAGATGGCCAAGAGTGGAGGCATTAGCAACAACATTTTGAGAAATCAGATCTCCTGCTTAAGAAGCATTGGTATTCTTTCCCGTTAGACTGTGGGAACCTCCGAGGACCGGGACTCGGCGTATCTTGTTTGTAACAGTATCCCCAATATCTAGCATAATGCCTGGCACATGGCAAGCATGCATATTATTACCTAATGATCAGGAAGCTCTGGCTAATGGGAGAGGGTGATCAGATTTAGGAAGTGGAGTTTTCCAGAAATCAATTCTCTTCCAAAGATTCCCCACCTCTTTCGGGGCTCCCCACTGAATTTGGAGTTCCTTTTCTTGGCTGGCTGTTGCTGGGAATTTCTCTCTCTTTTGCTTCTGTTTCCTAGTTTTTAAATGTCTTAATTCTTGCATTTCAAACTTTGTTTCAGGTCTATCCTGCAAGAAATGGAAAGTTTCAATCATGCTGTTTCATTCAGTTTTCTCACTTGTAAAACCAGAGGCCCATTCTAAGTTTGGAAAGTAATCACTGGCAGCTGATAGAACACATGCTCATAAGTACGTTTGGATAATGTACTAAAAGCCTGACAGTATTTAAGGGTTGTGTATGTTAAAGCAGTGGTCTCCAATCAGGGTCGCTTACCCTGGGAATACCCCAAATGCTCCAAGGGGTACATGGGATCACAAAGGGAAGCAATTTCCAGAACTTCAACTTTTATCTGGCCTCTTTCCTAAAATTCATCTGTGTAATGGTATCTGTGTCGGGGGCCGTTGGTTCTACTTTTGCATCTTTCTTACACCGGTTTTCAAAAACTGAAGCTGCCTCAGCACCACCCAGAGTGCTTGTGAAAACCTAGGATGCTCTCCCAACGCCCCAGTTTTGAATTCAGTAGGTAGGTTCTGAGGGTTCCCATTCCTTACAAGTTCCTAGATGATGCTGATGCTGTTATTTCCAAGAACAAACTCAGAGACCCAAAGGCTCTAGACAATTGCCCTTTTCCCACTTTCTAAAAAACCACCGCCGTGTCACACACACCTCTCGTTCATCCTGAGTGTTATGATGCATTGCCAGGGGATGAAATGTAGAGGAAACAAAAGAATGAATCACAATGAGGGATTCTAATGACACTATACAAATGAAATCCTTTTTTAAGCCAGGTGTTTACAAGAAAAATTTTCCAAAGGACTTCATTGAGATGTCAGCTGAAAAAATAACTTGATAGACTACTAGGTGGTTTTGGTATATAATTCAGAAAGAGGTAAAAAAAAAAAAAATGAGTAGCCTTACATAATAAAACTGTCATTTACACCTACTTATTTATGTGAACAAGTTTTCTCAGTGTTCAAATCTATAAATAAACTAGGAATAGAATTGATGCTATGCCCTGACACACTCTACTCTTAAGTAATACTTACTCATGGAAATGCAAATTGGGGAAAAACAGCCCTAATCATCTCATAGAGATATATTTCTAATACAATTTTACAAGTTGTATAATTATCCTTCAAATTTTATAAGAGCGTAATATTGTTTTGATCAATTGGATATCAGTAAATCACAATGATAACGCAATCCAGAAGAGTTTTAACTTCTATACTTTTAGGTTCACAAGAGAAAATTAATTTTCAACTTTTAAGTACAAATTTTTATATACACACACACATACATATATATATATATATTTAGTAGCTTGATCAATAGAATACTTTCAAGCATATAAATAAATAATATTTGAATAAAATTTTATGAGGAGAACTGAAATAAGAAAACAAGTTCAAAAAACAAGAAAAGAAAAACATAAAATGTCTAACAAGTATTTTTTAAATGGATGATAGTAGGATGCAAATCATTATGTCATTTGGATTCCACACAGTATATTTAAAAGAGGGATGGTGCATGTTAATTTTAGAGTGGCAATATTTAAAATATGCCAAAAAATGGCATCCTCTACAATTGTTTAAATTTACGATGAAAAAAATTTTGGTTGACAAAAAGTAATGGAACTTTCATTGTAGAGTAAGCACTTAAAAAAATCATTTAAGAATCATTGCCTTACGACAGCAAACTTTTAATTTTCAACAGGGAGCATTTGAGGAACTCAGATGGAACTCTGAATTAAATTCCAGTTAAAACCCAGGCTTTGCTTATTCTGTAAACACCTCAACAAAAACCATTTCGTCCTGGTTTGGCATTTGCTCTTTCTTGTCCAGCTGGGATCCAAACATACAGAAATGAGTAATACTGGGAAAAGATTATACAGTTTTGAATGGCTCATTCAAAGACCTTCATAAAATTCCGATTCAGACTTGTTTCCGAAAAGAATGACTGGGTGAATGCGGGTTGCTTAGAAAATGGCAGTCACAGAACAGTAAAAAGAGGACACACTCATGTCAGCACAGAAACATCACTGCAGGCCTTTTCCTCAACAACCACCTCGCTGCGTTTGAAACATGAGCAAACGTAAAGAGAAACACACTGTAGGATGCTGACGTTATCGGTGGGTCTTTGGCCACGTGATAACAATATTTTTTGCCTTTATCTAAAAGACATTTTCCCTTGTGGATTCTTTGCTTAGCAGGCTTTCATGCACAGGGCGTGCACAAAACCAATTCTGAACCTCTGTGTGGCCTGCCATACTTTTCCCTGTCCATTTCCAAACTCGATAACTTTATTTTACATGATTCATGACTTCTGGGCAATTAGCGCAAAGCTAATGTGGTTCCTACCTCCTACACAGTATTGAAAATTCAGTTAAGATTGGCAAAGTTCTACTTGCGATCATATCAAAATGATGTAGCTTTCCCAGTCCACGTCTCATACCTCTTTTTTACTTCAGCTACCCTAAAGGATGGACTCTTCTTAAAGAGACACCCACGTAGGGGCACATTCCCCCCCACCTGATATGCAACCTTGCCTTTAGACATGAAGAGAAAATCACCTCTAGCTGACTTTGAGTAATACAGGTCTCCTTAAACTTCTCACTCTGTCCAGTATTCTAGGCGATGGAACATCTCACAGTCTTTATTATTTGCACTCAGTGAAAAAAAAAATTTGCTTGATGAAATTATAAACATCCAGAAGGGTGTCTATGCCAAGTAATGCAAATTTTATATACTCTTTTGGGTAATTTCTGTTTTAAGTTCTGTGTAAAAGATATGACAGATTGCACATTAAAAGGACAAGCTGAGCAAGGAAAAAAAATCTCTTCTTTTCTGAATCTATTCATGCCCAACTTCCCACATATCTTTGACATTCCAGGAAAGAAACCTCAATATAATTTTCAACTCACCTTTGTCCTTTATATCTTCGGTACAACTTCAAAACATATAATAGATCTGTTCTTGCAAGTTAGCAATATAGATACTGAACAGAACAGGCTATAAAATAAATCCCATAGGTTGTATCCAGTATAAAAAAAAAAAAAAAAGTGTATGTGGGCAAAGACCTGCTTAGCTCATTCCCTGTAAAATCTCCAGGGCCCAGTACAGTGCCTGACACATGGTAAGTACTCGATAAATAGTAAATGAATGAAAAATGAAGGAATGTATAAATATCTGGATGAATAAGAACATGATTTTTTTGACATCTTCTGATCGTTATTTAGATATGATCTTCTAGCCAGTAAATTTACCTCTAAATGTATAATACTTGGGAACATAATATCTTTTACTTTTCTTGAGAATATCACGCAGGCTCTAGAGATTACCTGTGTCCACTACAAACTAATTCTATAACTTCGGACAAATGACTTGAGTTCTCTACACTTGATCCGGAGAGTAACAGCACCTCTCTCACAGGCACAGACACTCAGCCTGGCTCATAGGAGGCATGTGCCGCATCTGAGCTATCACACTTCCTACCGCATGTTTCTTTCATATCTGAGATTAATGCACAGGTGTGCAGATGTAAACATTATCAGAATTATTACATCAATTTTCACAGGGACATATATATATATAATCACCTCTCAGATAGCCACAAAATCATTTCATCAGAGCCCCTTGTACTCCATGATGAAACCGGAGTGTAAAAATGTTGGTGCACATTAGGATTTAAAGTTGTAAATAACCAGACCAGTCAGAGTATAGTAAAAGAAGGACTTTAGGTTTCTTTGGTGAAACAAAAGCAGGTATAAAAAGTTACAAAGATTTTAGATTTTCATTCACAAAAAAAACACAATCATTCACATTTTACACTATACACGGTATAATATAAATACAGGAAGTATTAGGTGCATTGTAATATAAGAGGAAAAATTAAAACCTCACAGGTCGACACAGGTTTTCCTGTGCCCTGGAACACTCAGCGCTGGGTTACAGTTAATGGAGCAACCACGGAGCCTGCGCAAAGACACTGTGAATGATTGTAGCTGCTGTGGTTCCTTCCCAGCCAGAGGAGGTGAAAGAGAATCAGTTTGGGGGCTGTTCTTTTGCTATTTGCATTTCCCATGTTGTCTACTTTTCTCAAGGTCATTCTAACTGAAATTAGGGAAAGACTCCTAAATGCCTTCTTTTCATTACAGGTTTTTATTGAAACATTAAATTAAGTGGATAACAATTCGAAATCATCTTCCGCAGTCAGTTTATTCAAATAGAGGGGAGAAAACGAGTGGGAAGAGATAGGAAGACATTTTAACACACACACCTAACTATTTCTCTCTATATATATGCTCCTTGTTTAGAATCGGCAAACACCACTTGCTGTAAGCTATACAGGTTTCCACTCTTCATAATAAACACTTGATGTATTCTATCCATCACATTATTTAATCAGGGACAAAGTACCTAAGATTATATGGTTCCAAACTGTGTGAGAGAATACAAAAGCTAACACTGAAAAATAACTAGCATACTATGTCAATGTTCAGGTTTTGGGAAAAATAACATCCAATAAATTAAATCAGTATGGCTTACTTCATTTATTTATGTATGCTTCACAGCTGCAGCATTCATACATGAACATTCAAAACTTTATAAAAGATTAAAATGGTTATATATACAAAATTTCTTTCTTTGAATGTGTGTTTTTAACAATCCCCCACCCTCCAGAGCCCTGGGTCTATATCCATTTGAAATGTGTTGATCTGGAACCTTGCAAGTTAGTGTTATGAAAGCCATTAAAAAGTAGACCTGGTTGAGTTAATAATTAGCACTTTGACCCCTAAAAAAATGCTCCTGGTGATAGAAAAGTTCTCCATTCAGGCCTTTCTTGTAAGCAAAGAGAAAGGAATGCAGCCAAGAAGAGTTCCACATTGCAGCCCATCAGGATCCCATTAGCCAGGCTTCAGCATCACGTGGAAGCCAACCGCAGCTAAGGCTGAGATGGTGCAGTGTGACCTACAAGACTTTGTGTTTGTTAGTTGTCCATGAAAAGCCGTCCTCAGTCTTGCTGACAGTCAAAGGGCAAGTGAAACCATTTCCAGCCTAAACAAACTACCAAAAGCAGCCAAACCAATGATTAAAGCCCTCGGAGGCTCCATAATCATCGTTAAATATGCCAGAACTCAGTGTGACTTTTCATTTTATATACAGGATTAAAATCAACATTAAATCATCTTATTTACATTGCCATTGGTGCTGAAATGGAGCTTTTTAAATAGTCCAGTAGGCTGGTGTACATGATAAAATGGTCTGCACTGGAGGCAAACAGAAAACTAGAGAAATCAGATAGGCTACAAATGGTTCCTCTCCGCCCTCGCTTTCATTCGTGTTGTTTGTTTTCTTTGTAAATGCCAATGCTTTCATTTAAGATGTCTGGGGAGCGCAGCAATCCCAAATGGCTGGACAATGGTCCAAGGTCCAGACCAATTGACAGTACTTCTCGAGGTGGTAGGAAAGGCACAGGAAGTTAGGGCTTTGGCTGAAACGATGAGAACACATGTTCGCCAGTTTAGGGATCAGCGCCTGGACTCCTGCCACCTCCGGCTCCAACGGTGATCATGTTTTGATGTATTTATTGAATTGTCCTTTGATGAGGAGGAATTTTTTAAGTATTTCTTAGAATAAGTCCTTTGGTATGCAGATGCTACATAGAAGGAAAGAAAGAAAGAAAGAAAGAAAACACAATAATATTACTTGCTCCATACCCTAAACTACCACCACTGCAGCTGTAAAATGAAGGTGCCTAGTAGCTGTTATAGCACGGCTGTCCATTCTTTCTAAAGGACCACTTACGGTTCATGCAGGTAATTTTAGGCATAGCCCATCTTCCATTTCCTAGGCAACGAATAGTTGGAAGGTGGCGTTGAATGAAACCATCTTTGCAGTGATATCTAATGAGGGAGTTGATTTCATAACGAGGTTTCATCTTTCCAAAGGTCTTGGCATTTTCTACAACGGGGGGCTGGCCGCAAGCAACTAAAGAAAAGTAAATCAAGTTATTTCCAAATAATCTAAATATTTCTATCGGTATGAGTCTCTTTTGATCTCTTTCGCTCTTTAGATACCCAATCAAGCACTGTCATCTAAAGCAATTACTTAGAATTCACAAATTGAACATATTCAAGAAAAAAAACCCACCTAAATATTGAGGCTCTGGGCCCAGTTTGAATCTCAGATTATGTCATCTTGAATTGCATTTTATTAAAGAACTATAAGGCGAAATGGTCACGTTTCTGGAAAAATTCCCAATTGAAAATCACCTGTCTCATGTATGCTGGTGATATTGCCTTCATCACTATCCCCAAGATTTCTTTCTTTTTTTAATTCCCCTCCTTCACTTGGAACAATAATGAATTTGTAATACACAACTATTACTGTCACCTCCCTGAAAAAAAACTAAAAATCTAAAACAACATCCCAGTTTCAAAATATGAACAAAACATGTCTAAAATATGGACTCTTAAGTATCAATAAAATATACCTGGTTCTATTTAAGTTTATTTACTCTTTTTTGACTCCTGTATGGAGACTGGGGGAAAGTCAGGACATAATATTCATGCTCAGTTTTTAAAATTTTGTAAAATTTTAAATTTCAATTGTTGAGAAGGGTCATGAAGGTAAATCTTGGAAAATTTAAAAAAATTTAATTTACAATAAAAATTTCTAAATATCAACCAACTTAGCAATCGTAAATAATAAAAAGAGAAATAGAAGTAACAGAAACCTTGCAATTTTGAAATTCAAGAGGCTGGGCAAATTGATCCAACTGAATTTGAACTCAGAGTTTTATTCAACATTGGTGTGCTTGTTTTAAAGGATATACTTTAAAAATTAACTTTTCTTAAGTGATTGTTCTTGCTATATATAATTTAACTTAAATGCAATTTCCCTAAATGGCACTTCCTACCCAATTCTTAAGAATTCTGACACCACAAGGTCCACAGTGAAAACATATTATATTCTCTCATAAAATAATTCAACTCTTCACTGGGAGGGTGATTACCAGACACTTTGGTACCAAGATATTTGGATATCAACATCCTAACATTAGAAGTTTATAAATATTAAATTTACTTACATATTCATAAGGCTATTCACAACCACATTCTTTTGCAATGACAAATTTGGGTTTAACATCTATATTCAGTTCCTCTAATTTACTTCTGCTTGACAAAGCAGCTTGGGACATATTGACCCATAGCAAACAAAGGTCTTTAAGGAAACACAATCCAAGCATCTTTTATTCATATAAGAATTGTCACTCAGATAGGCATAACCTAAGAATAGATTACAAAGATATAGATTCCTATATATAACTAAGAAATTAGAAATATTTGTGTGTGTAGTTGATCTTCAGAAATCCCTCAAGCAGAGATTTCTATAATAATACATCGTTTTCAATGAATAAACTACAAAACTAGTGATATATGAACACTTAATAAAGCTAAACTAGTTCAGTGAGTGTGGTATTGGCAAAGACAGGAAATGGACCAGAGGCAGGTCCACACGTATTTGCATGATATTTGACAGAAGCGACACGGCAAAGCAGTGAGGAAAAGTAGCTTTTTCACTTGGACAATTGGGTATTTTTATGAAAAAAAATTTACTTGGTTCCTTACCTTGAAGAATACATGGAAAATCAATTCTAGATGGTTTGAATACATAAATATAAAAGGCAAAAGTAGAAAACATTTAGAAAACAACACAGAATATCTTTATGATTTTAGGGCAGTAAAGATTTCTTGAGATAAAATGTGATTTAAACCATAAAGGAAAATGTAACAAATTAAAGAATTCTGTTCATCAAAAAATGCCATGGGGTAAGAGTAAAGACAAGCTACAAACTGGGAGAAGATATTTGTAAAATTTCTCATTGTCAAGGGAATACTAATCAGAATATAAATAGATCATCTATAAATCAAATATAAAAAAGAAGCAACCAATTTTAAAAAAATAAATAAAAGACATGAACAGAAACTTTATAGAAGCCAAGAATGACCTATATTGTATGAAATGATATCAAGGGAAAAGTATCAAAGAAAATGCACATCAAATCACTATAACATTTTATACCCACCAGACTGGCAAAAATTTCAAAGTCCAAAAATATCAAATGTTGGCGAAGATGTGGAATAACAGGACCTTTCACACACTGCTGGTGGTGCAAACACTTTGGAAAATAATTTGGCATTTTCTAGTAAATTTGATGGTACATGTATTATAAGACTCAGCATTTCAGTCCTGGAAAAATACCTTATGAAAACTCACAAATGTCTACCAGGAACAAGATCAAGATTGTCCACAGAAACATTGTTTACAATAGCAAAAACACTTAATGTAACCCAAATGTCCACTGGCCAGAGACTTGATAAATAAAATGTTATTTAGTCATACAATGAGATACCAAACAGCAGCAAAACTGAAGAAATATAGCTACATGCATCAACATGGATAAATCTCACAAACATAATGCTGAACAGAAAAAGCAAGGCACAAAATACATACAGTATGATTCCACTTATATAAAGTTTTAAAATGTGCAAAACTAAATAATGTATTGTTTACAAACACAAACATATGTGATAATAGTAAAGAGAAAAGTAAGGGACTAAGTCATTATCTATGGTTGGAATTGGGAAGTAAACCGATGGGACTGGAAGGAAGTTACTGGAAGGATGTTTCATAGAACTGTGGATAGTATTCACTGAGTTATTCTTTTAAATATATACATATAATATATGCATGTCTATAAAAATATATAAATATATATATACACATTTATACATATATATAATCCTTCTTTACAGGTACTTAATTAGAAGTAGAACTATTTAGGTCTGTATGTTTTAAGATGCCTAAATTATCTGAAAGAAGAAATGAGCATCTTTTATAAAAATCTATAGACATTGATAAAATTCATATAATTCTCCAGAGTACTGATTAACAAAGAATTAAATTCACATAAATAAAAATCAGACCATAGGGAGATTGAATATAAAGATCGTTTTGTTTTGTTTTCCTGTAATGGGGTAGAGCCACCACTTTATGAATCTTTTTCCCCACTGGGAAATGTAAATTGTGATGCTGGTTTTGCGAATCCTTTTGAGCTATAGGGCAGTGGTTCCCAACCTAGGGTACTTTTCTTCCTCTCCCTCCACAGGGACAGTTGGCAATTTCTAGAGACATGCTTAGTGGTCAGAAAGCAGAGGAGAGGGACGTGGAGTGGAGGAGAATGCTAGCGGCCTTCAGTGCTAGGAGGCAGACATGACGCACACATTGCAACGCCCAGGGCAGCCCCTCACAACTAAGAATGAGCGGGCCCCAATGTCAGCGGTGTTGCTGCTGAGAAACCCTGCTACAGGAAAAATTAATATAAGAAATATAAGAATGTTTGGATCAGAAAATGAAAAGCATGACTCCAAGGACCATTTGGAGAGGTGAGAATGCAAACATGACATTTTGATCAAGACAAACAGTCCATGGGAGACTCCTTTCAGTAGAAACAGGGAAAACAGACACCTGGCTTGCGTTTTCACAAGCCCCACTCCAGAAGTGCTGAAGTCATGGATGCACATGGTCAGGAAAGCAGCTCATGTAGGAAGGACATTCACATAAATCCTACTTTAGATCAGAGAATAGCAAAGTCACAGATAACAATTGAGTTTATCTAAACTTTGTGTACTTTAGTGTTCTCTTTATTCTAATAGCATTTTCTAATAGCATTTCTTAATCATTACTGGTGCTTCCTAAAATATTTAGAGTGTGAATTTTTAATTTTATCATTATTTATTCATTTTTATTTATCTTTATTGTTGAAGGTATTACAGATGTCCCTCTTTTCCTCCATTGACCAGCCTTCTCCCCGCTCCTGCCTATTATTTTTATATTAAAAAACAAATCAAATGGATTTTATATTGTGCATTTGTGCTTTGAACTCTCACGTGAGATGGGTAAAAGTCTAGATCTAGAGACTAAATATTCATGCTTTAACACCATTTTGCAAACAGTTTAAAAATGTTTATGGAGTTCCTACTTGTTTAAGGAAGAAGTCTATACAGTACGCCTTAGCAATCCAAACATTCTGGTCGATGATAAACACAACAAATTTTTTTAAAAATCAGCGTTCTTAATTTTACCTGTTTAATGTCAACCAAGCAATTCTCCTTATTATGGAACGTATATTACGACTGCTTTGATTTGATTACATCTTGAAGGCATTCAACTGTTCCATGGTTTATAAGCATGCAATACGCTTCTAAGAAAATGATTTAAAAACTCCAAGCCTGCAGAGACCAGGCAGTTGAGAACAGACGGACTAAACAGGCATGCAAGGAGCTGCAGACCACGGTCCCCGCTCAGCAGAGCAGTGGTTTTCAACTCCAGTGCTTCACACCATGGACAAATTTGTACAGGGTCAAATGGTACCACTTGTTCTTTTTTTTCTTTTCTTTAAGTAAAAATCCAGATTATTTTATCACATATCCGAACTTTGAAATGTTGACAATCAATATTTTTAATGCTTTCCTCATCAAATTAAACAGGTCTTTAGCACTTGGACTGGCTATTGTTGTTTTTTGAAGATACTTGGAGGTGGTTTTTCTACATAAATACTACATTGTTATCTTAAGCACCTGAAATCTAGGGTGAAAACATTACTGCAAACAAACTTTTCAGTTGTGTTGCAAGAGTAAAATATTCCGGAGCCACGAGAGCTGATGTACATGACACATCCAGTTTGTGTCTTAAAGAATGAAGCTTAGTCTTCCTGAGTTTCCTTGATAATAGAAATGCAGATTAAGTAGAGATTATTAGCGGGGTAATTATTACCTGTTCCTTTCTTGCAAGTGTAGGTGAGATGGTAATTGCAGGGAACATCATTCCACTGGCCGTTCTCGTGCCAAATGATGACGACGCAGTCTTCTCCAGAAGAAAAGAAGCTGTCGGGTTGGTTGGGCCTCCAGTTCTCATATTGCTGTAAATGGAGAGAGAAGATGACTACTCGATGGTCAAAGAGCAGCCTATTGTAAGGGTGACAGTGGCATTAAATCACAGTCGAATTAGAATGGACTAAGTGTCTGATTAACCATCTAGCTAAAATGATTTTGGTGATAAGGCAAAAGACTTTTGGACTCTCAATGGAAAGCATACGTATCTCAAAGTCTTCAACAAATAGGTATTTTTTCTTTGGCAATGAGATATAGTTGAGGAATTTTATTCTACATTTCTAAATATATAATCAGTGTTCAATTTAACAAATTATGTTATAATTAGTATTACTAATTATAACAGCATTAATGAAAGTGGAACAAATAAAATTATCTATAATCTCTTCACTCTGATCCATTGTCTTCCTCCATCCTTCATGTGCACATAGAATTTATATAGCTGTGTTTATAGTACAGTAAAATGTGTATCTTCTTTTCTCTATTATCATTACAAAATACCTTTCTTTGTCTTATTTAAAGTGATTTTTAAAAAATCCAAATTCATTTATTTGGTTAAAAAAATTGAGATATTTTCTATATGTATTTTATGTACTTCCCTGCTATACCTGTAGACATCGTTTTATATTCAACCTTTCTGAGTTATTCTGTTTTAGATGTGATCTTATGTGTACCATACAGTTGAGTTTTGCTTTATGATCTAATCTGGAAGTTGTTTTTCTCTTAATAGGAACATTAATCTTATTTATATATGCTGATATAAAAGATGAGCTTTTAAAAATATATCTTACTATAAATATGTTTGGGTTATTTTTGCATAATGCATGCTCAGATAATTGTAAAGGATTTTATTGATTTAATGTTTTTCTACTGGTTGTTACCTTTATATCTCTATCTTTAGATGGTATCCATTGATTCCCCTTTCTGAGCAATGATATAAAACTAGAAATATCTTGTGCCTTCCATCATCGTAATACATGCCACTAGTTTAGCGCCTACAGTTTACGGAGCCCTCTTCTAGATAGTTGTTCTGCGTGATCTCTTGCAACAATCTGACAGGATTGGGAGCAATTTCAACCTTACAGAGATTAAGGACCCAGAAGTCTTTGATTTATGTTCAATTTTTTGTTACTTTAAAATACTGCCTCAATATCAACCAATAACTATATGAAAAACACAGCCCCTATCCGTATTAAAAAAATAGCAAATCTTGATGAGATGAAAATAACATTGGATTATAAGTAAGAGTTCACTTTCCTAGTCTTGGGTCTCGAGACCTAGCTAACGTGGAATGGGACAATTTTGTTTGTTCAGTATCTTTCTTGCTCAACTTGATTATCGCTTTCCCACGACGCTTTGCCTACTGTGGTTTTACATCAGATCTAATGCTGACAAGATGGTGTCAACAAACTTTCTTCATGTGGTAGAAACACAGATTCAGAGTTATGTAGCCATGGCTGACAATGCTATCTTTTCTGGGCCTACACATCTATCAGTCTTTCCTTGAATGAAATTTAAAATAAGTCTGTGATTTGAAACAATGAGTTAAGAGATTTTATTTGAGAAAGGTAAAGTCAGAAAAGAAAGAACTGTATCTAAGAATTATGGCAATTATTCTGGCGTCAGAGTATGCAAAACAATGATCCTACTGCTTATTGCCAATAGCACCTGGCTATGATCACATCTTTTTAAAATGTACAATAAACATACTAGAGAATGTCTATAACTTTTCTTTCTTCTTAGAAGAAAAATGTGGTTTTTAAAATTTTCAAATACGGTAAAAAGCTAAATCTTTGATAAAGTCAGTATAAGGAGACTAAATTTTGAAAACCCGAGGATTAAGTGGTCTACTTTTCCTTTGCTTCCCTTTGGTTTACAGTTCTCCTAAATCATGAAAAAAATTAAGATAGGTGATTAGAGATCTCAGCTTTATTTGTTTTTTGTTTTGTTTTTAAGGAGTCTTAAAAGAGTGATAAAATTGCACAGAACCAAGGGAAGCTTAATAAATTTTTTTTAAATTTCTGATTTAGCCAAAACACAGAATGAAGTTTGTTTTTATTTCTCCAGTGGAAAATCAAACCCAGAAACTAGATGGATTTATAGCCAACTCCAGTAGACTACATCCTAGCCTGAGTTCCGCTCACATGGCCCTGGGTAGGAAGCTAAGGCCACACTCACCAACGTAGTCTCTGACTGGCAGGTCTCCCTTGGACCAGGAACTGACCTTTGCTCTGAAATGGGTTTCTAATTATTCCTTCCATTTTCCTTTTCTTTGCTGACTTCCCTTCCCTTGTTATCTTTCACCCTCCACCCACCAAGCAACCCCCACTCTCCTTTAATAAATAATAGACAAGGAAATAGATCAACAAAGCACAGACACAAAAGTCGCATACAGTCTGTTGCTGACATACAAGCAACTTGTCTTTAACAATGGCTAACAAATGGCCCTGGACAATTTGGCTCAGCCGTTGAGCGTCGGCCTGCGGACCAGAGAGTCCTGCGTTCGGTTCCCACTAGGGGCACATACCACACAAAAAAAGAAAAAACAATGGCTAACAATGAATTAAGGTATGATAAAAATAATAAACAAAAATATATAGATTTCTTAAAAAAATAACAAAAATCTACTTTTAATACCTTTTATGATCAAAGATTCCAGAGTTCCTCAAATATTTAATTTGGATTTTGGAGCTCACTGTTTTCTGGCCGACTTTTTAACAAACCTCTTACAAGAAACCGGAAAATGTCCTCAGAGGAAGACAATTTCCATCATCCCAATAGTATCCGCGAACAGTGCAATGCTCCCCCTTCCTCTGCCCTACCCACACGCCATCTCCCTTCCTTGCTTTATTTTTCTTCACAACACATATCATCTACCATCCCATATGATTTACCTATTTATTTTATTTTTTCTCCCTAGTAGGATGTAAGCTCATCGAGGACAGGAATTTGGGTCATGTTGTTTAATACTATGTCCTCAGTGCCAGGGACTATGCTGGGCACTTACTGGTGTTGTTTAAGAAATAATTTGACATTTAGCCCAGGCCGGTTTGGCTCAGTGGTTAGAGCATCGGCCTGCGGTTCAGAGAGACCCGGGTTTGGTTCCCGCTAAGGGCGCGTACCTCGGTTGCAGTTTGTCCCCGGCCCTGGTTGGTCGTGCGGGTGGCAACCACTCAATGTGTCTCTTTCACATCAATGTTTCTCTCTTTCTCTCTCCCTCCCACTCCATCTGAACAAAAAATGGAAAAATGTCCTCGGGTAAGGATAAAAAAAAGAATCTGACCTTTAGAAATAGTGGACCACAGAGTTTGTTGTTCTCCCTTATCCACACCGACCCCTAATCAAAGACGTTGCTCGCTGTTAACAAATGAGGTGAGACAGGCAATCAGACGCGGCCGGTGGAAGTGAGCAACTGGGAAACAGCTGGCGGTATATATCAAGAGCCTCAAAGAGTGACCCTGGGACCCCATTATTCCACTTCTAAAAAGCAATTACAGATGCAAACCATGTTTTATCTAAAATACTATTTATACTAGCAATAAATGGAAAACAACCTGTAGAGCAGTGGTTCTCAACCTGTGGGTTGCGATCCCTTTGAGGGTCGAACGACCCTTTCACAGGGGTCGTCTAAGACCATTGGAAAACACATATTTCCAATGGTGATTCAGAACAGTAGCAAAATTACAGTTTCGAAGTAGCGACAAAAATAATTTCATGGTTGGGGGTCACCACAACATGAGGAACTGTATTAAAGGGTCGTGGCATTAGGAAGGTTGAGAACCACTGCTCTAGAGTGAACATATATTCAATAAATCATGCTATAACCAGACAAATAGAATATTGTATAACCATTAAATAATATATAAGGGGATGGGGCATACTAAAGTGTAAGTTAGAATGAAAAAGCAAACCACTAAAAACATACAATGATCCAAATTTTACACACACTCTCAGATGCCGCTCTGTGTGTGTGTGTGTGTGTGTGTGTGTGTGTGTGTGTGTGTGTGTGAAAGACCAAAAGAAAAGGCAGTCAGATGTCATAAAATTTCTCTCTGAGTGATCTGAGACTGAAATTGTATTTTATTCTGTGTATTCTTACATATTTTCCAATTTCCCTAGCGTGAGCATGAATTATTTTTCTAATCATTAAAAATGAACATTGTAAGAGGATCTATGCAGCCATCAGAAAGGACTTACAGATTTTGCAGCTAACCCTTTTTAAAACTAACCTCAACAAATTACAGTCATTTGACCGGCCTGTATTTCGCAGCTGACATTTCCTCCTGATCTGAACAATAATCATCTCATTTTCACACTGAAATGAGATTCAGAGTCCATGTCACTGAAGCGGTTCTCAGGGTGCAGGCTGCCCAGACTCAGACCTCTGGTAAAAGATTTAATTGTTTTTGGTGGGAATTACATTTGGCTTTGCAACAGTGATTTAAAACGTGTGTTCCGTGTTGTTGCTTGGCAGAGCTGTGGCTTAATGGTGCAGGACCAAATTTTAGGTCTGCGGTTTTTACAAGAATGTCTGATACCCACAAGCATGTCACACTATGACCTCATATCTGATAGCTCCATTGTGCGGATTTACTTTGGCTGGGATGCTTTGATTCTGCTCCATGTTATTGCCAAACTGAGTTAGCAGAGGAAACTCCAGTTTTCTGAACAACTTTCTTTGTTTCCTCATAAATGCTTTACAGCCTTATTTAACATCACTTGCAGGGAGAAAGAGTATAAAAAAATAAATCTTTGACTTTGGGTTTAATAATGTTTTTTTGTTGTTTTTTTTTTTCACTACAGTTAAATGTGAGGAAGTGATCTCTCCTCGGGAAAGCAATTCTGAGTTAGAAGAGTGTAATAGAGCCTCTTTTACATACACTGGGTTTCATGCACACAGAAATAAAGATTCTTGGAATGAGCAGAGAAAAATTCACCACTCCCAAATGGATTTTTTGCCTCTTCATTTGGAATTATAAGCATACATCCTGGGTGATCTACCCTGCATCAGCTCTCTTCTAGGGCTGGA